CCGGCGGCAGCGACTCCCAACAGCCCCAGCCGGGAAGGGAAAGGCAAAAAGCGCTTTGCCTTTCCCTTCCCGAGGCGGCGGGACTGGGGCCGCACCAGCGGCAGCAACTCCCAACAGCCCCAGCCGGGAAGGGAAAGGCAAAAAGCGCTTTGCCTTTCCCTTCCCGTTGCGGGCGCCCGGCTGCCGGATGTTGGAGAAGCCGAGCGGAGCCAAAGCGACCTCGGCTCGTGTTGTTTTCTGAGCCTAGAGCCAGGGCGCTTTCATGGCACGGCGGAGCTTCTTGTCTCGGGAAAAACCGGCCGTCGTTGCTGCCCCCTGAGGGGAGGGCGATTCTGGGCTGCGTGATTGGGGGACTTCCTGGTTTTGAGTGGGTGGGAGTGAGGACGGATGGAGTCTGTGAAGCGGGGCTTGCCTGCCCTTGCTGGCTGCCTCTGCTTCCTTAGGGGCGGGGAAGGGGGCTCATCTGGACCAAGGGTGAGTCTCCCCCTCAGTTTCCCCTGAAGGATCTTCCGTCGCTTTTGCCTTCTCCCTACATCTCCGCTCAGGTGTCCGGCTGAACCCCAGCCCGTCGGGAGTTGCTGCCGCCAGTGCGGCTCCGGTCCCGCGTTGCCTTGGGAAGGGTGGGGCAAAACCAGGAGCCGCTGAGCCTGAGCCTCCGGTGCCGCTGCTGCTGTTGCAAAGCGCTGCCGCGACTCTTCCTTTTTGCCTTTCCCTTCCCGAGGCGACGCGGGACTGGGGCCGCGCCGGCGGTAGCGACTCCTGACTCAGGGGGCCTCCGAGGGAGGGGAAGAGAGTGACTCCTGCCTCCCGCTGTCATCATCATCTTCTTCTTTTGGGTTAGTTACTCTGGAACAACTTTAGCAACATCTATAAAAGGAATTTTGATCCGATAAAACTCTAAATGTGAAAACTAAAGTCAGTATTGGGGCTCACATCACATTTCATTAGTATTTGTAATTAGAACATATATAAATCCTTTGACAGCATGGCAGGGTTTGGCTCTCTTTTTAGCAATATTTTTGCTGCGCTTCCTGCATTTAAGGTACTCATTCATATCATATGGGTTTGTCCCACTATAGCTCCATTTTGGCTTAAACAACACCCAATTTGTTACTATTGTTTTATAAAGATCAATATCATTTAAAGAAGGGAATATGCATTGATGATGTTATCTAGCTTGGGTAAGGAAAAGTCTGCAAGAAAACAACCAAGTTGAGAGAGCACTAAGGGTTCAATAGGCACTATGATTATCAACAATTTGGAAGTATTAATACATCAGAAATTATGACTGTCAGTGGAGAAGGTTTGTAAGGGCACCAATATGATTAGACTACTTTTCCTCAATATGAAAGCACAGTGGAACCCCAGATTAACAATCTTGCATTGTCATGTGTTTGCTTTCGGTTTATGAACTGGTTTTCTACTAATGTAATAGAAACACTAATCAACATTATTCTGTGTGGTCAGGATTTAGAGCTGTGGTTAAAATAGTTGTATGTTTTTGTGTGTTTACCTCATAGGATTGATAATTTGGGGGAAATAGGAAGCACTGAATGAAAGCAAAATATGAATGTAATCCATGTTTTTAAACTGTAATGTAATATACTTTTGTGTTTTCTTGTTTTTTGTCTGTTTTTTCTTTTTCCTTCTGTCTTTATAAATGAAAGCAAGAATGTATGTATGTATGTATGTATGTATCTCCATTCCCAGTTCTATTTGAAAAGCTTAAATCTGCTGTTGATGGTATCTTTTGCTAATCACAACAGTAATAAGTTTGAGGGGTCCTTGGTACTCTCTGAGCCTGCTTGTTTTTTTTGCAGACATTTCATTACCCTAACAAGGTAACATCTTCAGTGGTAGACTAGTTAGGGTAATGAAACATCTGCAACAGGCAAGCTCAGAGAGAGCACCAAGGACCCCTCATTTCAACCCTGAGCTGCAAATATTCTTCTTTATTGGTAATAGTTTGGCAATGTCAAGGATAAAACATCAACACATATCATGGGCCTTCCTACTGTTTCTCCTTCCTGTCTTTTCCTAAGAGTAAACAGCTATGAAGCTGTGCTATACTGGTAGATCCAATGTGTTTTCTCTCCTTTAAAATATGAGGAAGCAAGTCATGGTAAACAATGAATTTAATCAACTGATTTTCTTTGTGTCAGATGATGATTAAGAAAGTGAGAAGGACTCAGCCCATATCCAGATTCAGCCAAAGTTAATCGGGCAAACTCTGTCCATGACTGTTCTAAAGAAAATGAGAGAATATACATACATATACACACATACATGTACATTCATACATATTTGTGCTGGTTAACATGCTGCAGCTGCCTGTGGCCACTAAATGCAAGTCCTCATATAAATCAAAGTGACCAAATGATTCTTAACAGATGCTTTAAACAAAAGTGATAAGCAAATAGCAAGTCATTAACTCCCTATGGTTACTTACTTGTCTGGAGTTTACAGGAGATATGTTTTTCAAAGCTGCCATCATAGATTGCTTCTATGTGCCTGAACCAACGAACAACATGGAAATGCTGATCCACAGGTGGGCCCGAAAACTGCCTGAACACTTCCACATCTGCATGTGAAAATGTGAAGCCCTGGATATAACTACGGGTGCTGAGATACTCATTCAGAGCCTTCAGCCTGTGTTCCTCTTCACTAATGCTCAGAATATCAGTGTAGTCAGAAGCTGCAAAGATAGAGGCAAACAGCAAGCGGTCAGATCTCACTGCTTGAAAATACCCAGAAATAAAGCATCACTCTACATGAATTTTGCAGCACACTCTGGGGAAATGATGCAAAAATGAAAAGTAAGAAGAAAAAAAGAAATAGAAAACAAGAAAAAAAGGCCAGAAATCTTTAGCTTTGGAAGTAACTGTTCATAGCAACAGCACTTAGATATACCACTTCATATTGCTTCACAGCACTCTCAGTGGTTTACAGAATCAGCATATTGCCCCCAACAATCTGAGCCCTCAATTTACCAACCTTGGAAGGATGAAAGGCTGAGTCAATCTTGAACAGTCAGGATCGAACTCCTGGCAGTGGAAATTCAGAGTTAGCCTGCAATACTACATTCTGACCAACACGCCACCACAGCTCTTTAAGCTAGTTATTTGAAGAAGTGGTCACCTCCAGGCAACCAAGAAGGAAAACTAGATGCAATTAAGTTAATCTCTCCTTTCAGGAAGCTCTGTGTGTGTGTGTGTGTGTGTGTGTGTGTGTGTGTATAAACAAGCTAGTGACTTCAGATTTCTAGTATAGTATGCATCAACTGAATTGTGCGTGAATAATCATGGTTTTACATGAAGGTATGTTTCAAAGGAAAGATATACAAAATAAAGATATGTCTTCTATATTAATGGGCTAGGGGGAAATTGTGGATTTAATTCCTAATTAGACTCACAGTGCTCGACATCTAAAGGCTTGAAAGAAAAAAATCTAAAGAAATTGTACCTTTTTTAATATGGGACATGAATACCTAATCATCATGCAGTATTTCTTTTGAATAAGCAACATTATGCAAAGCACAGAAAAGCAGTAAAAAAAACTTGACCTGAGAAACTGAGGAATGGCATTTTTTAAAAAAAGAAAATTAGCTAAATCCAATACCATTCACATATTTATCCGTACCTTTCTATTTTTACAAACCATCCTTGTTTCCATGATATCTATCCTCCACATCACACCTTGCCTTTTGTTCTTCAAACTTTTTACCTCTTTTTCAGAATCTCATCATCCAACCACATTTTTGATCTTCCCCTTCCTCTTGACCCGTCCAATCTCCCTCCATATAGTTGTTCTGCAATGTGTTCCTCAGTCAATCGCTTTATATAATCAAACCATTTCAGTGTACTTCTTTCATACTTGTCACTCAGTTCTAAATTCAATTTTGGCACTCAGCAGCCATTTATTCTTCTCCCTCTTTTCTAGTTGCACACTTTTTCCCCACTGCTTCCATCTTACATTTATGTTTTAACATATGCAATTCTCATTTCCATGTAAGTGAACCATTTTTTGCTTCTGTTGACATTCATTCTTTTGAATAGAGATACTATCCACTATCTTGTCTACCCGCATTTACACATCTTAAAATTTCTCTATCCATTTTCCCTTTTGTAGTAAACATTCTACCAAAGTATACAGATACACTACTTTGTCTAATTTGCAATGTTTTGTTTCATTTTTCCTGTCCCACTACAGTATCTTTGTTCTTTAATGCATTTATTTTCAGGCCCATGCCTCTCATTGTATCATGCAATCTAGGTAATACTTGCTTCAAGTCATTTACATTCACAGCCAAAGCGGCAGCATCACTGCATACACAAATATCACACCTATTCATATTAAACTAAAGGGACATGACATTTTGTTTTCTTATTCCTTGCTCAGAGCTGAATTATTTGCTACATATTCCATTTATTCTCACTCACATTTACTTCCAATCCTTTAATACCCAGTTAAATGTGTTCAGACTGATTTTTGACCTAAAATAATTAAATCTTCAAATGTCTTTAGAGAGGCTACATACAGATACTCCTCGGGTTACAAGTACTTGCTTAGGGACTGTTGAAAGTTACAACAGCCCTGAATGAGATTTACAGCCGCTCTTCAAAGTTGGGGCCATCACAGTGTCCCTGCAGTCAGTTGTTGTTATCACAACTTGGGCACATGATAATCAGTTCACAATTATGATGGTTGCAGCATCCCACAGTCACAGGGTTACCATTTGTAACTTTCCCTGCTGGCTTCCAACAAGCAAAGTCAATGGGGAAGCTAGTGAGATCATAATTCGTTCCTGCTCCCAGTGCTTTTTCTCCCAAAGAGCCCCAAAGGGCATCCTGTACCGCCACAGCACCTGCCTACAGCTCTCGCCCATCAGGCGGTTTGCTCAGGATGCCGTTTTAGTGCCTCTTCCCTTATTGTCATGGCTCCTCCCTCAGGCCCTTCTCCAGAAGCAAGTTCAGAGGAGGAGGGTGAGTTTGAGTCTGCAGAGGAAAGTGTTGGTCAGGATCGGGGCTCAGAGCATGCTAGCCTGATGGAGCAGCCTCAGCTGGGTCAATCAGAACAGCCACAATTTAGGCTAGACTGGCTGAGGGTGAAGGAGGCAAGCCCACAGCTGCAGCAAGTTGGCCAGGCTCCAAGTGAGGACAGGGAGCAGTTGCCACCTGTTAGTAATGAGGAGGAGGTGAAATGCACACCTCCACCTCCTCCTGATCCAGGGACAGGTTGAGCAGGGAGGAGACAGGCACAATGCCAGTCAACTAGATTACTCATGAGGAGGCAACCTCACCTCTCATGAAGGGCTGCACCACACTGCCTACTTAACCCCCTTCTGAGGACTTGTGTTGCTGGAGCAACGTGCTCAGTTCTGTGCCTTGTGTGTTTATGCCGTATATCCTGGCCTATCTGATCCCTGGCCTGCTTTCCTGGACTCAGTTACCTAGTGACTCTTGCTGTGCTGAGCTTGGAATCAGAACCTGTGCAATGGGATGCTTTCTGAGCACCTGTTTTGGGGGAGGGGTGTTGAGTAAACACCTGTAGAAGTCTTGCTTGGAGAGGGGGGAGCATAACACTCCACAGCATTCTCACTTGGATCAAAAACCGGGAACTGCTGGGATTGCCATTACTAAGCAATGCAGTCGGGTGACATCATGCCTTATGACTGCAATGATTAATGATGGAAATTTATTACAGCTGCCATCAGAACCAAGGACTGCACATACCTCTATAGAATTTTAACCCTCATACTGTATATCCATGGTGGTATTCTACTGGTTCGGCCCGGTTCTGGTGCACCGGTAGCGCTGAAGATCAGCGGAGATCAAACTGGTTTTTCTGAGGAGCTGCTGTTGAGCCCACCCGCCAGCCTGGGCTCCCATACTGACCGTTATTCCCTGCTTTTGAAGTGCCGCTGCTTTGCGCGGTACAGCGGATTGTCGCGCGTCAGCCGCTGAAGTGACAGGGAGAGTGTAGGCTTGCAAGAGGTGCATCGGAAAGCCTCTGGCGCCTGTGCAAAGTGCATGTTTGGCACACGCATGCGCAAAGTGTGTGCATGCAAAGTGCACCCACCAAGCCATGCCCACTGAACCGGTGGTAAACTATTTCGAAACACACCACTGCTGTATATACAGACAAATGGGGCTTTAAATATCATTATCACTCAGCACAAGATCATCCGGTAGCATGAAAAATCTGCACCGCAAGATCTAGAAAAACTAGATTACATCTATAATTAAATGGAGTGGGTGGTTCCAAAAAAGGATTTAGAGTAATTACTATAGGGGGCCCATAGGGCAGATGTTAGATAATATTCATCTTAATAACCAAAAGTCTTCAGGGTTATACCTGTTCTTCCTGTTATCATAGTTTCAAATTAATTTAAAGCCAGGAAAGTTTATAAGTACAAATATTTGAAGTCTATCTGGGGGGGGGAGTGGAGTTTGTGCTAACACAGACCTGTTATAGAACAATTTCAGATTCTGAGCTTATATTTCTTCCAAATCTTCTAAATGCAGCTTTAAAGGTACCTGAGATCTCCAGATGCATTGAACAGATCTGTTTGAAAGTCTACAGAAGTTACAAAGAATTTCAATCAATCTATGCTTGCCATCAACGGGAGCAGCATGGTGGCCTACAGGTGAACATGCTCACCTCCCACTTGGAAGGTTGAGAGTTCAATCCTAGGCAGCAGCAGCAAATGTTTCTCTATCAGGATGCAAAGAAAAAATATCTGCTGCAAACTCCAAGTTGGGAGTCAGGAAAGGCACCCGGCCAGTATATGCTCAGCTCCATTCAGTTGCCCCAATTCCACCCCGGATAAAGGGATTACAGGATGGTAAAAAAAAAAAAAAAACAGTGCTTAGCAACAGCTAATCAGTCATTTACCATCCAAGAAACTGACTCAGCCTCTCAGATTTACGAACCCTTTTCCCACCTTAAACAATTTAGAAGGCTAAATTGCTATTGTTCCCCCACATCTCCATCCTCTCCATGTTGGCTAACATTTGTTAATTTAAAAGGCCTCAGGCTTGCATGCTGGTAGTTCTGCATTTGGCCTCATTACCTAATCAACCCAGCAAAACCGCACTACAATTAGTTTCCAGGTGATGCAATGCATACAAAGCTGAATTGTTTGCATTCTTTCTCAAGTGCATCTCTAAAGGCAAACGGTTAGCTAGCAGATGCATGCTGACTACTGGAAAGGAAGAAGTATGTGTAAAGATAAGAAACGAATTAGTCTTTTTAGACCTAGAATTCAGCAGCTACTGTGATGGGACAATACTGACAATTTGTTATTACACCTATCTTTTTCTTTCTATCTACAGCAGGGGTCCCCAACCGCCGGTCCGCGGACCGGTACCGGGCTGCGGAACAAGCCTTACCGGGCCGCTGGTTGCTGGGCGCCGCCATCTTTTTTGACGAAAAAGCGCTTCCGGTGACGTCACCGGAAGCGCTTTTTCGTCATAAAAAGATGGCGGCGCCCAGTTGACGCCGGTACCGGGCTGCGGCGCCCAGCTGATGCCGGAACCGGGCCGCGGCGTCGAAAAGGTTGGGGATCCCTGATCTACAGGAATATTCTAATTGCCCTCAAGATTTGTTTGACTCTATCTCCCCCAGGGCTATATTAGTAACAAACTTAATATAACAAATCAGTTCAACTTCTCTCCCAGCTCTCCAAATAAATGAATAAATAATGAGTCTAGATGGTTCACAACAATCAAAGAAACCAGTAAAAGCAATAAACTATAAAAGGTAAAGAAATAATTTCTACACAAGTATTGAAATTAAACAAATTCTCCCTTCCCTTTACATCTAGCGTCTCTCATTTATACCGTAAGAATTGTTGAAAGCATTATCAGTGCAAATTTAGTGCTTGAAGGCAAAAGAGACAAGTGATTGTTATAAAATCCCCCTCTGGATTTATACTGTTTCAATCATCCATGAAATTGGCCCAAGAAGTAATGAGAGAAATCATGCTGGATATTTATTTATTTTATATGGCGCCTGATTCCCAATGACCCTGAGCGACTCAGGAGTAAAAACATTACAAGCAAGAAAACAAAAACCCAGTAAGAGACACAAATACAAGAAAAAGGAAGACAAAACCCAAAAAGAAATGAGAGAAACAAACCCATACAATCCAAAGGGGGCTTCACTCAACCTCACCAAACGTCTGACAAAGAACCAGGTCAAGGCCCTTTGAAATATCAGCAAGATGGGAGGTGAGGGGCGAATCCAGAACCTCATCCTAAAGGAAAGGTATCGCTACAAAAAAGCTGTGCTTCTGGCATTAAAATGAATGTTTAATTGAAGGAACCCCGAGTGCATCAACCTTGCTAGACAGAATTGGCTGGATAGATACTATGGGAGACAGGAGGTCACTCAAGTAACCAAGCCCTATGCCATGAAGGGCTTTATAGGTGACAACCAACTTTGAATTGCACCTGAAGCAAACAGGCAAGCAGCTCACAAAGCATAGGGAGGCATACCCAACATTGCCCACATTATATTCTGCAGCACCTGAAACTTCTAGGTGACCTTCAAGGGCAGCTCCATAGATCATGCAGTAGTCAAGCCATAAGGTGACCAGGGCATAAATGACTGTCTGGGGGGGGGGGCTCAGTCTACAAAAAGATATAACTGAGTCTTTTAGCCTCAGCTGCTACCTGTCCATGATCAGTCCAGGAAGACTCCCAAAGTGTGCACCCCTTTTGAGTGGGAAAGTACAAACAATAAGTAGGGTTGAGTCAGAGATGGTCAGAGATGGTTCCTCCCCATCCAATCCCATATGACCTTATCCAATGTTTTCAGGTAAATGTTGAAAAGGTGGGAAGAGAGAGAGTAAAACCCTGTGGGATGCCACAAAGGATAGGACAAAGGAGTGATTTCCCCTTGTCAACCAAGACTTCCAGGAACTGGCCCCAAAGAAAGGAAAAGAACCACCACAGATCAGTGCCTCTGATCCCCAGCCCATGAATACCATAGCTGATGGTATTAAAAGCTGGTAAGAGATCAAGGAGCATGAGGATGGATGCATCATTCCATCACAGCTCTGCCATAGATCATCTATAAACGCAACCAAAGCTATGTCAATACTAAATCCTGGCTGAAACCTTACTGAAACATACAGTATCTAGAAAATCAGTTCACTCCAGCAAAGGAAATGGACTTCACCCAGCAAAGAGAACTAACTCTACTTGCAGCTTTAAAGAGATCCTGTTTTTTTGCTCCAAAGTCTAGGTTATATCTTTGAAGATATCTAAGTTGCATCTTCCAAACACATGCACATATGAAGGGGTTTCACAAATGTACACACAGCTTTTTAAGGGAGTCTAATTATGTTAATAAAATTTTGTTGCAATGCTACAATATACGGTGTCCCCAATAAGTACATTAAGCTCTTTTGCCCCAATAGTGACAGGATTATTATTATGGCTAGACAGATTATTCCAAAAGGTACTTCAGTTGCTGCATTGTTCTTTGAGGTCACTTGGCAATAAAGATAAAGTGGCTGCCATTTCATTTACGTGCAATCACATGCAACAGAAGCATTTTCCGTGTATGCAACAGTCATTTTTATTTCACAAAACTGAAGAAAAATAGTTCTTTTAAAATTAATGTTCTACATATTTCCTTTATGTCTTAATAATATATTCAAAAGTACCACTCCAGAGGATTTTCACAGCCCTGCTAGGTATTACAAATAGGAGCAACCTGTCAAGGCAGAAACAACCAGATCTACTAGTAAAATATTCAAGTCAGCTACTTTAATACATTTCCCTATATTACAAGAATTTCTCCAGTCTTCTTGGGAACAAGTAGATAAGAACCCAAAGAACTTAATTGCGCAAGGACTCAAGGCTAGTTCCCCGCTTGACCCCTCTTCCCTGCCTAGCTGGTAATTTCCCAACAGAGCCAAAAACATTTTAATGCGAAATGCTATGTCTTTTTGCTTTTACCCAAACTTGCTATCGCTCTCTTTTATGCACATATGAAGGGATCCTTGATTAAATGAATTATGAATAAAGCATTCTACATGATCCCTTGATATTAGGAAAGGGATCTAGTATGTACAGCCAGAAACATCCTGTATAATATTTGGCACATCAGAGTTTTTCACAGCTCTCTTTGTGAATTATTTAAATCGAGTTTTATATCTATTCCAGTGTACAACCAGTTTAACTCTAATAACACTATCATGCACAAAATAGAGGCATTGCTGTTTCTAGAACAAGGGATAATTCTAAATAAAGCCGTGCAAAAAGGGCACATTTCTAACTAAAGAGGGAAGTCAGGCAACTGCTTGAAGTATAAATGATCTACAATACTTGCAATTCTCAATTTGCTACCTAATAGTTCACTTACATATATATTATGGAATGCAAACTGATAACTCCTTTCATTTTTAATTAATGCCCTGTACCTTTTCTCTGAGGCCTAATTATATGTTTATAAAGAAATGGTTAGGTTTAAATATAAGGGCATTAACTGTATGTTTACTTATCAAATAGAAATGCAAAGGGAAAACATTAGTTATTTAAACAAAACCTCTGTAGAGTTTCAAATGTATATCAGATCCTTAGGAATCAGCCCTGAAGGATCTATTTATACAGAAAGATGTTTTGATAGGAGTGAATAGCTCTGATGAGCTTTAATGTAACTTTACTTAAAATTTCAGGCTTTCAACTGGTTGATTTTTGTGTCTGCTAAAATCCTTATTTTATTCATTGGCAATTGTTTAGTCAGGAGACATTTCTCATCATCGTATGGTGAAACCTATGATGTACAATATTACTATCACCGCTTGAAATAAGGTGTATGGTAGTCCTTCATTACTAAAGGATCTTAATTATACTACTGTTGGTTTTAAGAATATTGTAAATTCCGTTTGGGACATAATCTCAATACAGTTAAAGTTACATCTAACCAACAAACATATATGTCAGCGTGACATTAAACATAGCCTATATCTGTTTAATAAATGTCTATGTCAGAGAAGTATTCTGAAGCAATTTCATAATCTTAAGTATTTGCATAATCAATTGAGAAGCTCTAGTTTGTATTGTATCAAGCTGACCTTGTGACCTATTCTTAAAATTAAAGCTTTTTCCAGCTATCAAACAAAAATCATGTCCTGAGATCTTTTTTTTAATTAGGACACTTTTTATAAGTACATTCATCACCAAGGTGATATGAAAATGCATTTAGAATAATATATACAAGTTTGATCTTCATTAAAAAAAACAAACCCAAATACTCCTATCAAAAAGATTAAGATTTGGACATGCCACAGAACATGACTACTCCTTGGATTTGTAAAGCTTCCACATTTTATAGCTCTGTCTTGGCTTCACCTTGTAAGACTTTCACCACTCTTTAAAGATATCAACAGCTGTAAATGGATAAGGTTTGTTGTCGAGAAGCCAGCGATAAAACAATGCCTATATGCCCTGCTTTTATATAGTTCCTCAAAGGCACTCTCGTCGGCTACTGACTTTCGATTTACTCAACGGGAGGATTTTTATGCGTTTACTACGACTTCGCCGCGAAGAAAATGGAAACAAAAATGAAAGAGATTCGGGGGGGGGAAAATATTCCTTAAAATCAGTGACAGTACAATTGTTATTCTGCAATGGCAATCCACTACATCATTCAATCTTATAAATTCATTTTTGGGGGCGGCGGGGGGGCACGGAAAAAGAAAAAGCTACCTTTAAGACAGAGTTAGATCGATTAAGAGCCTATCGATTAAGTTTCCGCCTCTGAAATCAATAGACGTAGTCCCTACTCGCTGTCCGTTCACAGCACACATTACCTGCAGCCCTTATGCTTCTAACGATGCGGTATCACAAATTGTACCGCCAACCCCCCCTTCAATCTTTATGGCCCTGCGACGCCTTTTCCATATGACTTGAGAATGGAATTCCGGGACATTTCTTTATTCTCCAGCCCCGTTTTATTTCGAAAGCTTGAAAGCTTACCGGCTGCTGCCATTCTTCCTCCTTCGCCTCTTGTCAGACGATGCTCTGCCTGACAAGCTGATGCAACCAAGGCCGTTTCCGGAAGCATAACTCCACCTCTTATCGTCACTTCTGGTGGGAGCAAGGTAAACCGGACGATTCACGGGCAAGGCAATCTTGAAAAGGCAGGGAAGCACCTTATACAGACAATTGCAAATAATATGCGAGGAGGGGCACACACACAAAAAAGTACATCAGTATACAGTAGGCAGATATATTTGTTGCAAACCAGGAGTTTTTCGAGAATATAAACTGAAATAAATGAATCCACCATTATAGGCACAAATTGGCTTGATTTGTTAGCTTTTATAGGATCTTATTTGTCTATTTTTATTGGTATTCCACTGTTCTTTTAGAGATAACTTAAAACCTATAGCAGCCAAGTTTATAAGACGTTTGCTTTGTATTTTGGGGTATTCAAGCTCAATTGATATTCCTTTATGCTCTCTACTTATGATTAGGTCACACAGTCAGCCAGATGTTTTTCTCCACCTGAGTCCTTCCGAAGAACTGGGATAAGCAGATGTTGTTTAATAATGTTACAGGTATCATCTTAAGATGTAAGCTGTTCCAAGTAAGGCTGCCTTTAGCAATTGACTGATGGTGATTTTTGTCAGTGCTGATGGTGTTCAAGTGCAGAACCAGATGTTTGGAACTGCACTCATTGTGCCTTTTGCTATTGGTGTTATCTTTGTTTTCATTATTATTATAATTGGTTAGTCAGCCAGATGACGATTTGGTATTTTTATCCACCTAGCTAGCCAGTCCTTCCCAAGGACTGGGGATAGGCAGATGTTGTTTGATGCTATTGATGTTAAAGGTATCATCACAGAATACGAAGTGTTTGGAGTAAAGTTGTCTTTTGCAATTCACTAGTGGTGATTTATTCTATTATTAAAATTAATTCAAATGCCTAGTATCTGGGCAAATCAAGTCTGCAGATTTCCCCTCCAAAAGATGAAGCTATTTTCCAATAAATAGATTTTCCTTTTCTTAAAGAAATTTTTATGAACATATACCTTAGTTTACCATAGTTTTATACATACAACCTGGATATCTTTTATCAGCATTTACTATTTTTTGACTGATTGAACCATCATCCAACTTCAATCTTCTCTAGGCAAGCTCACAATACAAGCAATATAAATATAACAATTTACATGATAGATGGAAAATCTCATCAATAATACCTATGTACACCGTCTGGGGCTACAAGCACAGTAGCCCAGAACATGAGAAGAAACCTGCTTTTAGGCACAAAGAATTTGTTTATTATTTTATGCTTTTCTGTGTAATACTTTAAATTTTCTTCCACATAATTTTTATATTTACAATTTATTACAAGTTTAAGCTTACCCGGCATGCTGTTCTGACTTTAAAGGGAATTGTTGGGATTCAGCTATATTTTACAGAAACCTTCTCAGCCACAGCAAATATTAAAGTAGCACCTCTGCTTACCTAGACCACAGGTTTGTTAAGATATGATCTGAAACCTGCAAAATATTAAGTCTGTGTTTGCTCAACACATGTATCCATTCTTAATATAATTGTGACCCAGAATAAAATTGGTGGCATACACATTTCATTAAAAAACATTAATTAATCCAGTATTATAGGCCTGGATGACATACTGAAGCATAAGCTAGCCATACAAGCTGTGTTTACATAACACACTAAACTAGAACATGGCTGGCTAGTTTGTTTCTATGTGTTATGTGAACATTGTCCTGGTAGAATCAAAGCCATTTAAGTCATTTTTTTATGAGAAGTAAGAAAAGAGCAAGAAATATTAAGCCTGAAATATTGAAGGTGTGAGATTAGTAGAAGAATGTTAAGATTAATTTCCATCCAATCTCAGCTTTCTTCATCACCCTCTTTATGATCTGTATCTGGGGCTGTCAAACTCCGGCCTGTGGACCGGAAGCGTTTAGCGAAGGGGGAAACAGTCCAGATATGTCACGTGATGCTGCTGTGATGATGCAAGTTTGACACCCCTGATCTGTATGTTCAAACAAATCTATTCTTTTGACATATGAATGAAAGCGAATATATATGTCCCATGATGTGCAATATGCAAACTGGGTCGATCACCAGGATCAGAGGTTTAGTCTTCCAAGCTTTCAGACTCATGCTGGAGCCCATCCTCGGGGAACTTCTCTCTAGCAGGGTGTGTACATGTTACATATTGTTACTCGTGCTGGAGCCCATCTTCAGGAAACTTCTGTGTAACAATGTGTAACATGTACACACCCTGCTAGAGAGAACTTCCCTGAGGATGGGCTCCAGCATGAGTCTGAAAGCTTGGAAGACTAAACTTCTTCCCAGTGACTGACCCAGATTGGATCCTGTAATATCAGTACCATGTCCAGACAAATCTTTAAAAATATATCCCTTTAAGCAAGAGCAGGAGGGAGAGAGCTGAAAGAGAAGTGAAAGTTGCTTCTGGCTGGGACAAGACGGGAGAAAGTTATTTGGAACCTTGAAAGCTGTTAAGTATCTATTGTTCCTTGCGAGAGTTACAAGCTGCGAATACCCTAAAGGGAAAAGTTTTTTTTTTCTTTGTTCGACTCTCCTTCCTAAAGTGATGGGGGGGGGGGAATCTTTTTGGCTGTGAGTGGGAAGGGAGAGTGAAAAAAAATCTGAGCAAAATTTGAAAATAAGGAGAAGATTGCCTAGAATTGCAGAGTTTAAAAACTTCCAAAAAATATATTTGAAAAGGATTTGTGATTACTTTAACCCCAGAAAGAGAAAGTCAAGAAGAAGAAGATATCTAAAAGAAACAGTCTGTTTGGATTGTTTGGTGATTTTGGAACCTTTAGAAATTATTTCTGATTAAATCATCTGGGTGGTTGTTTGGAAAAACTTTTTCTCCACACAATGGCATCATCTATGGATGAATTGGAACTTATATGTCAAAAATTTGAAAGAGAAAAACAAGGAGGTGAAGATGGACTTGGCACTATTTTCCAATACTTAGAAATGGCGGTTTATATTTATGTGAAGCAGAATGAGGATGATGGGGATAAAGAAGAAGGAGAAGCCATCTTTGATGAGAAAAGGACTTTGATTGGAGAAGGGAAAAAGTGGAGGTCTTTAAGATCTGGAAAAACAGCCCAAAAAGAGAAGAATAAGGTGGAAAAGGGACATTATGTTAAGAAACAACAGAAAGGGGGAAAGCAGAATAAAAGGGAGGTGGGGAGACAAGGGGTTAAAGAGGACAAGGAGAAGAAGAAGCAAGGGAGAAAGGATGGTGGGGAGCAAGATATTAAGAAGCAAAAGTTTTTCAGAGATAATGGATAAGTCTTATTGTTAATGGGATTCTAGAAGGTACATAAGATTGCATTTTTATATCTGTATTTAGAAGTAATTATAGAAAATTAGAAATAATATGTAGTTTAAAATGTGATAAAATATTTAACATAAACAAGTGAAATTTTTGTTAAGAAAAAGGGAGTATTGTAATGAAATATGATCCAAGATTATGATGTGGGGGGGGGGGGGGGTAATAATCGTGGAAAGCATAAGTGTTCCCACAAAGGCATGACATTCAATTGAAATGGATAAAATGTTTAAGATATAAATGATTGTTAATATTAATAATTAGAAGATGGTATATTAGCAAACCTTTTGTGAAATGAGATTTGAAGTAGAAGGAGGAACATTTCAATGAAATATTGAGCTATAATATGTGATGTGGGGGGGGGAATAATTTTGAAAAATAGGGCTCTCATAAAAGCATGTGATTTAATTGAAAAGTAATGAGTTAAATATCTAAGATATGAATGAATATCAATATTAATGAATAGATTTGTATTATTTTTGATAATATAGTATAATTTTAGAATGTACCAGACAGAATCCCAATGTAGGTTATGTATTTTATATTAAGTACTATAAATATAGGGGAAAAAGACAAAGGCATCATACTCCATATAGTGTATAGGAGAAGTACTTCTTTTTTTTTTAAAGAAGAAAAATAAATGATTGGCTGGAATAGAACAGACAAAGAATAATAAATATTACGATGTGAATTGAGAGGAGATAAAAAAATAAAAATGAAATAAAATTGAGAAAATTTAAAGGAGAGAAGTTATATAGAAAATTGAAAATGTTAAGATATGAAATGGTATGTAAAATGAATATGAAATTGAACTTGTGTCTGTACCAAGAGTTTTAACCCGGGACTAAGCAACTTTCAGAAAAGAGATTTTTTATACTTTTATGTTTTGTGTTTATGTGTATTTATGTATTGTTTGTCTTGAAAAATAAAACTTGTTTAAAAATATATATATATATATCCCTTCAACCATTCTCACTTCAGCTTCATCCCAAATCACTTAATGTTTATTTCCCTTCAGGCAATTATTCCTGAAACTCACCTGTAGTTCTTCAGTGGAGTCAAACACAACTGTTACAAACCTTATTACAAAACAGGACACTACAAAATTAGCTTAGCTTTTTTGCCACTGGTTAACTTTTAATAGCGGTATTATCTAACAAGACTGAATTTTTTTTTCTTACAAATCAACATTGCTTACTTTGTTTGTGAACTATGCCATGATGCATCTCTTTTTTTTCCTAAGTGAGAAGTATCTATTGTTTTGATTGTGTTCCAAAGTAATAAGTTGAAACAAGTTAGCTCTAGGAGTAGTTAATCATTTTTTTTTTAATGTTCAGAGGTCTAGGTAGCTTTAAATAAGCATATTTCTTATACAAGTAGTCCTTGACTCACAACCATAATTGAACCCAAAAATTCTGCAGCTAAGCAAGCCCATTGTTAAATGATTCCCCCCACCCCCATTTTACAGTCTTTCTTGCCAGGTGTTAAGTGAATCACTGCAATTGTTAAGTTAGTAACAAGGTTGTTGCTAAGTGAATCTGGTCTATTGATTTTGCTTATCAGGTCACAAAAGGTGATCACAGCTCCGGGTAACTGCGACCATCATAAATATGAATCAATTGCCAAGCATCTGAATTTTCATTGTGACCAAGGGATGCTGCAAGTGAAAAACATTCATAAATCTTTTTT